AAAAAAAAACAATTTAAATCTACACAATTTCTTAAACACTGTTTTTCATTTCACAGCAGACCACAATTCTATAGAAATAAAGTGAAACTACCATTTGTTACCACAGTAAATTGGCAAATTTCTTCCATTAAAATCAGCCAGGTTATTTGATTAAGTAATCCTGCTATTGGGACTCCGTAGCCAACATTCCTTCTCAGTCCTTCCAGTTTAAGCCTCATTATGGCAAAGAATAAATTTAAATGTTGCCTTTGGAATAAATAACGAGGCAGGATTTTGCTAACTTTGTGGTCTTGCCAGTTTAAACTAGAAGCAAGCAGGAAAGGAAGAAGAGGAATTCAGCTATTTGAATATTGATTCATCAGAATGTAGTCTTTAAAGCCTTTAAATCCGCCTTTTTAGCAGAGCAAATAGAAAAGTTTGACAACCATCAGAGATCCCTATAGCCCATTATCATTCCTGCAGAACCCAAAGTGAGGCTTAAAATATGGCAAAAAAAAGAAGAGGTCTAGTTTGTGTATCATTATAGTTTGACACGTAAGGAAGTAGCATGATTTGTGCCTCAGGCTCAGATTTAATTCAGGAGAAAGTAGTCTTTGGTCTGCCTGAAAGTAAGAAATACGGCATCTCTTCTGATGCTTAATTTCCCACCTTGCCCTCATTATTTCTCCTGGACAATGTTACACTTTCTGAACCTATTTTCTCCCAGTTCACATCAATATTTACATATCCTATGCCTCCGCTTCTTTAAGTTTCCACGGGGCTCAGAGCCAGCCTGATAAATGAATCTAAATCCAGGGATGAATATAATAAAATAACTTCTGGATGTCCTTAATGATTATCAGATGATGCAATTGTACCTCAATAGAGATCGTCCATATCTTCATTACACTAAGTAAAGGAGTCACATTAGGAGTCCAATTTTATCTATTGTGGTAGAAACAGGCTTATTCTGCCTATGTGTATATCATCTTGACTTTATACAATGCTGGTTATGTGCATACTAAACCTCATCCTTCAAGCAGCATGGATATCAAACTGAAAAATCAAATAATAATAGCATAAATAATTTGTTTTGAAATATGAATTTTAACATCAGAAGACCTAAGCAATTTAAAAGTTGGGTGTATTCCTCCAGGGAGTGGGGAAAAGAGTAGGACACAGGCCTGGTCCTTAAAAAATTATTAATAGGGTTATAGATTATTTGGTTTCATAAACATGCATTACAAAAAATGGATAGGGCTGGCTGGTTAGCTCAGCTGGTTAGAGCACAACCTTATAACACCAGTGTCAAGGGTTCAGATCCCCGTATAGGCCAGCCAACAAAAAGAAAAAAGAAACAAAAAGGACAAAGAAAAGAAAAGTGAGTAAAACAAAAAAAATTCAAAAACCAAACAACTGAACAAAACAAAGAGCTAATAATGGTAATCAGAATCAAAAGACAAAGACACAAATATATAATACTAATGAGATAAAAGCACAGATGTTTAGGAGTATAAAATATAAAAATTATGCACAATATATAGGAATAACTTTAAAATCTTGACAAAATGGATAACTTTCTAGCAAATATTGATTACCTGTATTGACAGAAACCAGAAGAGGAAAAATAACTAAGGAACATATTAACAGAAATACTCTAAAACTATCCTCTAAACTGTGATGCTAAGGATAGATAATGTAACGGGAGTGCTTAACAAAGGCATATCCTTCATGGAAAGATAGCAGATAATGGAAACAGATGACCATGGTCCCCATTCATTTAAAAAAAACCAGATGACCCATTGTCCCCATTCATTTGAAAAATTATCTTGATAACAAAATGTCATAAAGATAGCCCAGAAAGGAAAACTTCAGAACAAGCCCA